GTACATTTACTTTAAACTCATCTCTACCACATATGATATTGATGTTGGAATAAGTGTCCAAGGCCATAACTAAATTGATACAACTTTACGGAATAAAAGTAAAGTCCTTTTTGGATTGCCCTTAATAACTAGAAATAGCTAGAAAAGACTTTAGGGGATATATATATATATATATATATATATATATATATATATATATATATATATATATATATATATATATATATATATATAGAGAGAGAGAGAGAGAGAGAGAGTGTGTGTGTGCGAGAGAGAGAAAGAGAGAGAAAATGATTTGTTAACTTATTATATACTTAATAAATTAATTAGAAATATTTGGAATTAATAAATTATTAATCATAATTAATTTGGAATTGATTTGGGATTAATGAGAACTATTTAAAGGTGCAAGGGCATAACTAAAAATGTTCAATTATTGAGCAAGGAAGGCATTATAGAACCCTCCATCTTGTGGACGGTTTTGGAGGAGTTTTAGAAGTGTTCCAGAAGTTTCCTAGTTGTTGATAGGGTAAGGACTTGAACACATTAAATCTTATTATTTTATTATTCAAATCAAGGTTTATCATAGATATTCACTAACTATATATAGAACCCCTTGGCCTTGCATTTTCGTTTCTAGCCTTATAAGGAAGATGAAATTTATTTTTCATCTTGTCTCCTCTTTCTCCTATGGATTTCAAGTGTTCTAGGGTATTGGGTGTGTGTAACGCCCCATTTTTACTACTTTCGTAAAATGTAATATTAAATAATTATTATGAAATAAGAAGTAGAGATATATTACTTTTGAACCAAAATAATCATCACAAACATGTAGAAGACGTCAATACAATTTCTTTAGGTGTATAAAACGCTTTGAATCTGACTTTGTATGAAGAGGTTATGACTCTTCGAAGTTTTGTGTTAAGCCCTATATGGCAAAACACGTCGTAAAATACAAATTGGAGATAGATTGCTTATTAGCCTAAGTAATCTAAACAAAAGTGATAGTAGTCGTAAAAGAGAGAGTGCATATAAAGAACATCTAAATCTGACTTCGTATGAGGAAGTTATGACTATTAGAAGTTTTAGCACAATATTGTGTGACAAAGAAATCAAAATAGAAATCGGTTGATTGTTATCTGAAACAATCTAAACGAGAATTGAAGATCTCGTAGATACAATTTTGTCGATATAAAGACAGTCGAGAACGGATGACGTTGTGACAACCGTCAATTTCTGGTCAAGTCAAAGTCAAATAAAGTCAACAAGTCAAACTGGTCAACTCAATTAACCTTGTATATTAGGGTTTACATTATGTTACTACTGTACAACTCGCTATTTTAATAAGAAGTTATCACTTGAAAAATTCATATGTTCAGAATTCTCAAACTCTAATCAGGGTAAGTGATGAAACTACTTGGTAAAACACTATCCCGTACCCCTCGGGGGCGTATAACATTCATAACGAGGCTTAATGGGGTGTACGAACCTTGCATTACGAAGCCAAACACTCAAAAGGTCACAAACATAGTCACTTTAAATCTCTCTTTATAAATCTCTCTCTCTCCCAAATCTCTCCTAAATCTCTCCCGAATCTCTCTCAAAATCTCTTTTTTAACTTTTTATAATCATTCGGGTCATTCCGACACTTAACTCGATGAAAAACCGCCCGAAACGGGAAGAGTCCTTGAAAAATAGCCTTATATGACCGAAGTCCTTATTAGAACTGAACCCTTCCTCTAGAACCGAAACTACACCTTATGGACCGAAGCCATGAAGAACCGAACCCTATTTGGACCGAAACTGCTAAGACCGAATCGAACCTCAGAGGACTGAAGGTCTCTTCGGACCGAAACCTCCCTTCAATCCATTTCGCTTTCGATTCCCTACGACCAGCTTCGCCTTCGGTCCGGAGCACCAAGGACCGAACCTTCGGCCCCGACTTCGGATGTTTGCAGCTTCTTCCCGGTTTTCGACCCCGACTTCGTTTTAAGCTCGTTTTTCGTGATTTTAACACGGGATTTTCACCCAAACTCGTGTTTTGACTTAAGAGACCCTATATTATCATATGTTAATCACATTTTGAGGAGGGGGATCCTAAACTAAGAACAATATCTTTTTGGGTAAGATATGGTGTTAGAGTGTTGACTTTATCTAAAGTATGACACAAGTTAACACCCATACCCACATAGGACAACCCCCTAGTCACTATTCACCCCTACCTAGTCAACTATTTGTCCTTTGACACCCCTCCTTCAGCTGCATAGCTTCATCAAAAGCTGGAAACCCTCATATCTCCTCCCACTTCACTCACTCTTTCTCACCAAAAAGCAAACACCTCTCTCTCTCTCTCACCTTCCCTCTCTAGAACTTGAGATTTCAAGGTTGTTTTTGAGTTTTTCATTCCAATTTTGGTAAGTAGCTTCATCCTACACTTGATTACCTTACATATTTCCACTCAAATCTTGGATTCCTTACACAAATATCATTGTATTTGTTCATAGAATCTTCAAATCTTCAAGCATCTCCCAAGAGTTCTTGACTTGGAAACTCCTTTTCTCCCTCCTCCATCTTAAGATATCACTCAAGGTGAGTTCATACCCCCACATTTTCATGGTTTCTTCAAGTTTTAGGGGGAGAATACAAGTTAAAATACCAAAAACACAACTAAACTCAAACAACAGCTTTCATCAGAAAAGTTGAGTCCTATTCACGGACTGTTTTGACCATCTTAAACTTAATATATTTCAAAAATGTTTATTATGCAAATAGTTTAGATTCATTCCTTTAAAATGACTACTTTCACATCTCGATACAATTTTTCTACAATTTATGGTGATTTTTACAAAACTGTCTATCATTTCAGAAACGAATTCGGACCAGTCTGTGAATATGAACATTTTCACACATGTTAGAGACTTCTAAAAATCATAATAAAATTTATGAACAAACTAGACATGTTTTCTAAACTCTTGGAGTTTACGGATTCAGTTTTTTACTTCGTATGATTTTTCTATGATTTTTCTAAAACAGTGTAGAAAAGTTTAAAACGAGTTAACAGCTTACAATTTTCATAACACTTTGTAACATGTTGAGCAAAGTGTAATCTTTGATGACTTCATATTTTGTATGTGTTTTCCTGTTGTGATATATTTATATAACAGAAAATACTCTATCAAGTATAAGGGTCCTTTGTAAATTACAAACAATGCAAGATGAAATATAATAAGTATAGTTATGCATTAGTTAAACTATTACATACACATGAAGGGTCTCACCATAATACTATCGGATTTTCAACTACTACATGATAAACTATAATAGGTATGGTTTAAGAAATTCACATCACTAATTTGGTACACAAAGGGGGATTTCACTCCCGCCACAGAAAAAGGTTTTTACTCAAACACTACACGTAAACTCGTTAACGTAAGTTGTGAGACAATTCTTCGAATGTACTCTTAGAGTACGGGTTAAAAATTCCTGTAAGTTATAACCAGAATATCTTGTAGGGAGAGCGTGATAATTGTGTATAGATCTATATTAGGATTGACACCCCACACCTTGCTGCTAGCTACAGCCGGACCTGCAGGTCTACAGGTGACAAAAGTCGTAGGATCTTGACGTCTGAAAAACGTTGTAGCAGGTTCATTCTAGTAATAGTATGGTTATGACGACTCATATAGGGAGTTAACAACATTTCAAGTTTACGGGAAAATACTACTTTACAAAAAGGGACTTTATCTATTTAAAACTACATACTCTCAGTCTTGGGATTTAAGACTACACAACCTTGTATAAGGAAAAATATTGGATTTTTCTTGAGTGTTCAATTACATTTACAAATGAAGGTTTTTCCAACATTTCATTCAAAAGCTTATGAACTCACCGACTTAATTGTTGACACTCTTTCAAAACTACTTGTATTCTCAGGAAACCAGTGAAACAGGTAACCAATTGCTTTTGAGGATGGGACGCAAGACGTCAATTTATACATTTTTGTCATCATAATGTAATTGATTTTGAAACATGTAAACTCATACTATGGCCTATGGTGCAACTTTTTCAATTATATTTATGATAGTTGTATTTACTATGAGCACTATTATACTCGTTGTTGTGATACTATACATGAAGTCCGCCACCCCTGAACGTTTCCGCCATCCTTGGTTTGGGGGGTGTGACAGACGTATGAAAGAGTTATGATTTTTTTAGGGGGTTTGACAGTTAAAATATAAAACTAAAAATAAAGTGAGAATTAGCCAACAGAGTCTAAATGAAAGTTGTAGTACTCGTTGATAGCTACGCATGGATATAAAGAACGTCAGATATCGTATGGGAAAGATATGAAATTTTGAAAAATCAGAAATTCGTACACGTACGGGGTGCGACACGCCCTTCTAGAAGCTGGCAACACGGACCGCCCAACAGGCGACACGTGGCACTACCCTAGATCACCCACCCCACCTACCCCAAGTCGCGACATGCCTAGAAATGAGGTGTGGCGTGCCTCCTTGCTATAAATAGGAAGCGTCTATTTTCATTTGTTCTTCACCCCTTCTTCACTCCAAAAACTCTCTAGAGACCCCTCACACCTCAAGTCCGATATTTATGCATTTTTAGAATACATTAGCAAGTCTCTAGACTATCTAGGATCTAGGTAAAAAGGAGCTTTCAGTTTTGAAGTTCTGTTATCAAAAAACCTGGTTTTCACTAGAAACTCTCTATAAGTTAGACTACACTTACTATGCTTTAAGTGTAACTTACTATTATGTTCATAGTCATAGTGATGAATATATATATATATATATATATATATATATATATAATATATATATATATATATATATATATATATATATATATATATATATATATTCGTTGGTACACTGCCCGAATGGGTAGGTCAGTTGGGTAATCTTGAAGAACTGGAATTAGATTATAACCAGCTTGATGATCCGATTCTGACTTCTTTAGGGAGATTACAATGACTTACAAGTATGGGACTTGGAGGGAACAAGTTCAACGGGAATATTCCAGAGACTTTTGGTCAGCTGTCTGAATTTACGAACTTTGCTGTCCCTTTCAATGATCTGAATGGCATTGTTTCCGAAGCTCATTTATTGAAGCTAAGTAAACTGACATTCTTGCATTTTTCTTCAAATTCTTTGATTTTATATTTGAAAGATGATTGGATCCCTCCATTCCAGAACCGAAATCTTGATCTGGGTTCATGTCAAGTAGGTCCATCTTTTCCAAATTGGCCTAAACCTTAGAAAAATATCAACTTTCTTAATCTCTCCAATTCCAGTATTTCGGATTCAATACCATTTTTGTTTTGGGATATGACCTCTAACCTATCCTTGCTAAATATTTCCCTCAATCAGATACACGGGAAGTTACCATCTTTATTTGATGTTGTTCCCTTTGCAGACATTGATCTGAGTTCCAACCTGTTTGAAGGACCTATCCCTCTTCCAAGTGTTGATGTTGAATTATTTTCTCTCTCCTTCAACAGATTCTATGGTGTTATCCCATCTAACAATAAGAACATCATGCCAAATCTAATCTTTCTTTCGCTTGGAAGTAACCGCTTATCAGGAGAAATCCCATCCTCTATTGGAGAAATGGTTTCACTTCTAGTCATTGATCTGTCAAATAATTCTTTGATGGGATACATCCCATCAGTTTTTGGAAATTGTGTTTACCTTAAAGTATTAGACCACGGATTATAACAACTTGTCGGGTGTAATTCCAGAATCTTTTGGCAATTTACAGCTCCTCCATTCACTGCACCTCGATGACAATAATTTTCCAGGAGAGCTCCCTTCATCTTTTAAGAACTTATCTAGCCTGGAGACATTGGATCTAGCAAACAACAAATTTTCTGGAGATATCCCACAATGGTTAGGAGACAGTCTTACAACTCTAAAAATTCTAAGCTTGAGATCAAATTCATTTTCGGGAGGAATCCCTACAAAATTTCCCAGATTTATCAAAGCTCCATGTCCTGGATCTTGCCCCAAACAATTTCATTGGGATGATCGCCATAAGCTTAGTCAATCTCATAGGCATTTCTTGTAATCAAATTATCAATCAGTGTCGTTTTTTTGGATTTTACCGTGGAATATACTACAAAGAAAGGTTGGTTGCAAATTTAGAAGGTGGGTTTCTGCAGTACACCAAAAATCTTTCGTTTGTAGCTTTCATTGATCTCTTAACAAACAACCTTTATGGTCATTTCCCAATTGAATTAACAAAGTTTATTGGTCTAGTATTCTTGAATCTGTGAAGAAACCAAATCGACGGTCCATTTACAGACAACATCTTTAATTTAGTTTAATTGGGTTCACTTGATCTCTCTAGCAACAAGTTGTTAGGTGTCATTCCTTCAGGTCTATCATCAATAACGTTCTTAAGTCGTCTAAACATGTCCAATAATAACTTCTCTACCGGGATTCCTATTGGAAGCCAGATGGAAACCTTTGGAGAATCTTCGTTTTTTAGAAATCCAAATCGTTGTGGACCTCCTCTTTGTATTATGTATGGAAGTAACAGCTCTGACAGCATTCCGCCTCTTCCAAATAACAACAAAGATGAATCTGACGTCGATAAGTGGTTTCCTTTGAGCATTGGACTGGGATTTTCCATTGGCATTTTGGTCCCCTGGATGATCATGTCGATTAGAAGACCATGGGGTGAGTCCTACTTTAAATTTGACGAAAGTGTGGTTTGATAGGATCGAGTGTGTTAAAAGAACAACGGTGGCACAAGTCTTAGCTACAGATCAAGAACCCGTTGCCCTTCATAGTTTATCAATTTAATGTTGTTGTGAAGATAAGTCTAATGTAGAGGTGTCTTTTCATGCCTCCTAAAGTTATTGTCGAAGAAATATCTTATTGTATATTATAAAGCATATTAGTCATATCTTGAATTTTAAGAGGTATAAGTTACAAAGCTTTTTGTACAAATTAATTATGCAGAAATAATTCATTAGTATTTGCCAAAAGTTTAAATACTTCAATTAAGAAAAGTAATTAAGAAATTCAATTTGGATTAAAATGAAAATTTTAGAATATTAAATTCATGTGTATAAATTAATTTACATTTCTTAAAGTAGACATCATTATAAATTAATTGACATCAACAGTGTAAATAGACGATATAAATATAAGGTATAAATATAAATATTTTATTTATAAGTGGTAATTTTTTATTTCATAATAACTAATAATAAAATATAATAATTATTTCTCCATAATAATCTATTCTCCAAAAAAAACTATTTATCACCGCCACTTTGCGCGGACACAAAACATTCTTAAACTATTGTGGAAGTAAGATATGTATTATTAATGTTTTGAAGCATTCACTGTTAATATGTATGTATGTATATGTATAGGTCCATATTTGTTAACCTATAATGTATTTCATAGTGTAGGCCCATTCGTGTACTTTGGTGTGTATATATTCTCTGTAATAGCTCTTTCATTAATCAAGGAAGATTATTCCTCATTATGGTATCAGAGCAATAATATTCAAACTTCCTATTTTCCCTCCTCATTTTTCTCTCCTTCCTTTTTTTTTGTCATCTTCAACCTCTTGGCAGCCCTACTTCAGCCGCTAAACCCTAAACTTCTTCTCCTCCATTTCTTCTTAATTCCTCGAAGATGTAAAGCACAACCCCACCTGTTGACAATGCCTTTGTTGTTACTAACATCAAGGCAAAATATACCCATGATTCTTGATCTTAAAAGACACAAGTATGATAACTAGAGGGAGTTTATTACAACTCACTATGAAGCATACGACACCCTTGACCATATTGATACAACTTTTGATGCTCCTAATTGTTAGGACATAAATTTGTGGTTTATACTTTACTTTAGGTAGCCTTTAGAGTTCTCGGTCTAGGACCGAAAACACCATGAATTCGGTGGTGTTTGGACCGAAATTACCATGTGATTTCGATTGGGCTTAATAATGCTTTCGGTTGGGTGTTGGGCTGGGCCTTTGTAATTAGGTCTAGGTATATATAGTATTGTTTCAGCCGTGTAAAAGGTGGGTCATTCCAAGAAGCTTATATCAATTTTAGAGAGAAAGAGAGAGCCGAGAGTAATTGAGAATCTTATGTACTAGACTATTGTTCAATATAGTGTGCATTGAAGATTCAATAACTGTGTTCTTAATTCGATATACCTATTTTGCATCAATCAATTGATTGGGATTCCACACCAATTCTAGTGACTTCTATTGATACGTTAAGATCGGGTTTTACACTAATCCTCCCTCTACCAATCCTCAATGGAAAAAGGTGGACGTTGTTGTCCGAACGTGGTTGTACATGACCCTCTCCCAAAATCTAGTCAACAATGTTGTCAAACCCAATGGTTCTGCTCGTCAGCTTTGACTCAACATTGAAAAGCTTTGTCGCAATAACAAAGATTCTCGAATCATGCAACTAGACAGTTACCTTCGTTCAATCTCCATGGGCGATCTCTCGGTTTAAGCCTGTTGTACCAAAATACATAATATAATGAATCTCCTTAAGAATTTGGATGTGAACTCAAAGGTATCTGACAAGCATCTCGTGATTTACACCATCAACATACTCTCATCTTGTTTTGATAACATTGCTACTATGATCCATCATCGCAACCCGTTTCCAATGTTTTCAGAAACTAGATCGATGTTAGTACTAGAGGAAAGTTGATTCAATGAAACCCGGATAACCGTTGTCTAGTCTCACTTGGGAAATTTTTCCTCTCATACCATTCTTCACACTAGTGGAAACACTCTCACCGTCGAGGGGATCGCCAACATGATTGCCGCCAGCCACCCAAAGATCACTGACAACTGTCGACTCACGGAAACCAACAACAATTGTCGACTGCCACTCCTTGTTTTCCTGCATGATCAGCCCAACCTTACGGTTGGGTCTTCATCCCTCCGCCAGCCAACATGCGTAAGTCCAGCTGGCACAATTCCATTCATTGGCCAAACAGAAATCAAGCCCAACAACAACAAGGCATTCTTGGACCTACTCTAAATTTTTCTTCACATGCCCACATGACTTCCTCTTCTTCTTTCACGGGACAACAATAAAATTCAAACGTTCGAGCTCCTTGGGAACGGTTTGGACAAACTCAAGCAACATTTCTCCTATAATTATTTTCATCCATGTCTCATCAAGAACCGGGGCAAAATCATAGGATTATGGATACGGAGCAACCGATCATGTTTATGTAAATGAACGTGTACTCGAATCCAATAGTCATAATAAAAATTCTGATTTAGTTTTAGTCGGTAACATATAACACATTCCTGTAACTAAAATTGGTCATTCCTTATTTCCTTTAATAATTCACATCGTCCCCTTCACCTTCACAATATTCTCATCACACCCATTATAATTAAAAATCTTATTTCAGTTTGCAAATTTACTCATCAAAATAAATGTTTTGATGAATTTGGTTTTATTGTCAAGGATTACAAGACAAAACAACCTCTAATCTGATGTGATAGTGATGGTCGTCTCTACCCGATTCTCCTTTCAACACCTCAAGCTCACGTTTACGCAAGCTTTTTAATTTGGCATTAACGACTCGACCATCCCGGGAGTAAAATTTTACAGTCTTTAATTTCCAATAATTCCATTTCATGTAATAAGACAAACTTTGTTGTCATTTGCCAACCTTGTCAACTTGGAAAACATATTAAACTTCCTTTTGATTTGTCAACTACCTCTGTTTCTAATACCTTTAATATTATTCACTTGGAAATATAGACTTCTCCTATTGCTAGTCATAATGGTTTGCGTCATTATGTTATTTTTCTTGACCACTATTCTCACTACCTTGGTTCTACCCACTTAAACAAAAGTCAGATGTTTTTTCCAAATTTCTATTTTTCTCAAATTACATCAAAAACCAATTCGACAAAACCATCAAAGCTTTTCAATGTGACAACGAGGGTGAATATAACAATAAGCAATTTCATGACCATTTCGCCACTCATGGCATTCAATTATGTTTTTCATGCCCTCACACGTCCCAACAGAATGGAAAATCGGAACGCATGTTATGAACCATTAACAACTCCATCTGATCTAAGCCCATATGCCACCCACCTATTGGGTGGAAGCCCTTCACATGGCAACTCATCTACTAAACATACTTCCTTCTACCACCATTCACAACAACACCCATCACTTATGCATCTTCCAAACTCAACCTACTTACACCCACCTCCATGTTTTTGGATCTCTATGCTACCCATATCTTCTTACCCCTCATAAACTTGCACCACGATCCTATCCATGTGTATTTTTGGGATATCCATGGTTATAGATGTTTAGACCTATCCTCTCAAAAAATAATACTTTCCCATGATATCATATTTGATGAATCTATATTCATGTTTAAACTCGTCACTGATAAAGAACCCCCTTCATACAACTTTCTTGATGAAACATACCACCCCTCTCCTCTATTCTCTCACATCACCGATTCCACCTCTACATCTCAAACCTCGGCCTCACACCAAACCGAGGAACAAAATCATCAATCGACCCCACCTTATTCACCCCAATCCCCTCTTTTGGATTCCTCACACCCCATGGTTTCTCCCAAAATCATTCATCCTCCACCCACTCACACCATGACCATTCGTGCAATAAATGGAATTATCAAACCCATACAACGTCTCAATCTTCACACCTCCTCTGTATCTCCCA